TCGCTTCCTAAACTGTGGGAGAATAAACGTCTGCTATTAAAAGTCATACATATGTGACATTTTTGCTATAGCAGCATTACATAGTAAGTATTTGTACAAATATGCATATGGTGGCCTAATGGCAAAAAGTTGTGCTGCAATCCTGAAGGCAAACAGTTCAAATCCACCAGATGCTCTGCAGGAGAAGGATGGGCAATCTCCTCTCATGCAATTAACTGCCTCTGAAAACCTGCTGGAGGGTCAACTATGGGTCAATTCTGACTTGACAGTACACCACCACCACCACCACCACCACATGATATCCATCTATCTAGCTGCTTTCACCCTTCTGAAAAATGTGGAATTCTCATTTGTTAAGTGGATGCATATCATTCATATTTCATAGGCTGTATTAAATGAAAATAAATTTAGAAAACTTGTCAAGAATGAGGAATTAGTGAAATTATGTTGTATTCCTGGGCCTTGGTTTTCTCATCAAGAAAACTAAAGGCAGGAATAATAGTGATTCATAAAGGGCACAAAAATCTCGTATGAGACTCAGTGTGGAATATGTATGTGAATAATTTTCTTTTCCTGCTGGGTTACAGGTATGAGACCCACCTGCAGCATCCTGCATCTGGCGTCTTGCCACCTTCAGCCCAGCATACTCGGCTGCTGCCGCCACCGCCTGGGCGAAATCGGCATCGGTGAAAAAGGAGCCATCGGAGGAGCTCACGCTGGAGCGTCCACTGGAAATGTTGTCCTCTTCCGAGGCTGAGCCCCAGCCGTTGATCATGGATCCTGTGACAGAGCTCTCGAGGTCTCCGACACTGGAGGCGGGGGTCTGCTCAAGCCCACGTAACAGGAGCCTTCTAGTCTGCATCTTGGCTACTTCCATATCAGCCTCGTCTTCTTCTTCTTCGGGTGCATCAGTATCCATATCTGAGACCAGGGGTCCTGAAATGTAGCCGTAGGTATGTGGCGGGGAAATCGGCCGTGGAGGGGGTGGAGGGCTCACCGGCTGCCGTCTGCATAAAGGTGAACAAACAGGTATGACTCAGCTTGGTATTTAAGACAGATTTGAGAGTCAGAATATATCTAATATATCTAGATGGTATTTTCTTTTGAGTTTTAAAAAATCGACCTAAAATCCTGAGGCTATCTTTTGATTCAAATTTTATAGAAATACACTTGCTCTTTATACATTTCACACTTTAACATTAAAAAGTATAATTTAATATTTAAAGCATACAATCCATTACAAAAGGGGAGGAAATCATATTTATTTATTTATTTTTTTAGAAACGTATGACTAGGTCTCAAAATGTTAAATAGTTTTTATTACCAAACCAGGTTGCATTAAATCAACACTCTCGACACCAGCAGTCATGAAATCAAAGGATATACTGCATTGGGAAAGTATGCTGCTAGGGACCTCTTTCCAAAATGCTGAAGAGCAAAGGTGTCAGTTTGAAGACTGAGGTATATCTGACCCAAACTATAATCTTTGCAATTACTTGCTATGCAGCTGAAAGTTTGACAATGAATAAGGATGACAGAACAAGAACCTATGCTTTTGAGCTGTGCCATTGGAGCAGACTGACTGCCAAATGGACAGACAAGTATGTCCTGAGAAAGATGCAGCCAGTGTGCTCCTTGGAGGCAAAGATAGTGAAAGTTTGTCGAACATACTGTGGGCATATTATTAGGAGGGCCCAGTTCTTGGGAAAGGACATCACGCTTGGAAAGGTGAAGAGGAAGAACCTCAACAAAATGGCTTGATACTGACTCTAACAGTGGGCTTGAGTGTGTCAGAAATGATAAGGATGGCACAAGATAGAGCAGAGTTCAGATTCATCAGTCGAAGAGTTGCTAGGAGTTGTAGTAGACTTGATGGCACTTAACAGCTACAATATTACCAAGCCTGACAGACATCAGTCCTGAGGAATATTTCTCTGTATAATAACTGGTCCTTTAGTTTACTTCATTCTACTATCTCAAGCAAATGAAGTCATATAGTAATGCATAAGTTTAGAAAGTATAAGTGCAATATATGGCAAAATTTACTTTTAATTTTATTAAAGTAAAAAAAAGCGATGATAACTATGAATATTTTTCTCTCTGAAGTACTTGCATATTGATTAAATTAACTGGCATGAAATATTATTATCTCTATTATTTTTACTGCCTCTTGGACCAGGTATAGGTTTTGCATTAGCATAATCAATTATTCTGGGATTCCCATTTTTCTCAGAGTCAGCCATAGCTTGTTGTGATCCATACAGTCAAAAGCCTTTGCATAGTCAATGAAGCACAGAGAGTTAGACAGTGAATAGGGATGATAGAAAGATAATTGATGCCTTTGAGTTGTGATGCTGGAGACGAGTGTTGAATATACATACCATGGACTGCTAGGAGAACAAACAGGTTTGTCCTGGAGAGGGTGAAGCCAGAATGCTCCTTGGAGTCAAGGATTCTGAAGCTTCATCTGACATACTTTGGGCAAGTTGCAAGGAGGGACTGGTTCTTGGAGAGGGACATCATGTTTGATGTGGAGAGTGGAGGAACAGTACAGGAGAGGAAGACCCTCGATGAGATGGATCTATTCTGTGAGTGGAGTGGTGGGAATGAATGTGTCTGAGACAGTGAGGTTGGCACAGGATAGAAAGGCATTTAGGGCTCTTGTACATAGGTTCGCTATGAGTCACAAAAGACTCGATGGCACATAACAACAACAACAAAAACAACAGTATTTTTACTATTATTTCACTTACTTGTTTAATAAAAGTCTTAAGTGTTTCTTTTTTCTGATGTTTTGGAATTAGTTAAGGCCCAAGGCAGAGCATAGAATTAACTAGTTTCAACTCTTTCTCTACGGACTTGCAGAGCAACATGGGGAAAAGCAACGTTCTCCAGCCACCCTCTGCTCAGTCACTACATCACATAGTCTAAATAAGATGCCTGCGAAGAAGCAGGAGTGGCATCCACTTCCTAAACAACATGCCTCCAGAAACTCTACGAATTTTGATAAATGTCGAGAGTTACAGACAGGCTTAGTGTTTGTGCATTGCTGCCTAGTCATTGAACTTGCTAAGCAAGGTAAAAGAGATGACAAAATTAGAGAGGACCAGCTGGAAACAGTCCTGACCATGAACTTCTGCATTCCTGAGAAAATGGATCCCAAACCAGTCTGCCAAACTGAACCCTAGTTTTGGAGGATAAATGAGTTTAAGGTCTTCTTGGGACAATCACAAGATGGGAAGCTAGGAGACATCTGGCATGAATGCTACAGGCCGGCAGTTCACTTGGTGATGTGGCAAAATGCCTGATGATGCAGCCTAAGAGTGAGGCTTCCGTCACTGTGGGGCCAATCCTTTCTCCTACTCTTAGGATATTTACAGAGAAAAATGAGGCAAAAGAGTTGCTTGGACTAACCAAGGATAAGACTGGTCCCTCATTTGATTTACCCTTTTTGTTTGTTTCCTTTTCTTGTCCTAGAACCTAGGAGAGTGGTCCTTTGAAAAGAAGAAAGTAGGAGGTGTGAAATACAGAACATGCCCCTCCTTACTCCCTTTAACTCCATGCATCAAAATTACCACCGGCAGGTGTAATCGAGGTGGAGGAGGTGAAGGAATGCATGTTAAGGTTTTATATTAATTGGAATATTAAGAAGAAACAAATTAACAACAAAAAACTACGCTTGGGATCTGGCCAAAAACTAATACAGGTCCCAACTTCAGAGAGGGAAACAGAATTTCCTTCCACATGGAATTATCTTTAAGGTAGGTATGGCAGTTTCAGGAAAAACAATGCTTTTTTGTTTTATCTCAACGAATTGAGACCCCTTTAATTAACTTGTTAAGTAACACAAATGTAAAGCATAAAAAGCGATTATAAAAATGTTTTCATTAACTCACTGAGCATCTACTTTGCAGCTAAGTATGATTAACAATTAGATACTTGGATACTGAGGTATTTTATTTTTATATTGTATGTTCTGTGGCATTGGAACTGCCCCATAGCTGACCCTCCAGTGGGTTTTCAGAGGCATTACGTCACATGAGAGGAGACTGCCCATCCTTCTCCCCAGAGCAGCTAGTGAATCGAACTGTGAGCTTTTTGGATTGCAGTGCAGCTTCCTACCACTAGGTCACTGGTTGTTGTTAGGTGCAGTCTAGTCGAGTAGTGACTCTATGAACAAGAGATCTAAACCCTGTCCTCTCCTCACTATTTTAGACATATTTGAGCACATTACACCGTCAGTCCATCTGGTTGAGGATCTTGCTTTTTCACTGTTCCCTCCACTTTTCCAAGCATGATGTCCCTCTCTATGGAACAGCCTCTCCTAACAACATGTCCAAATTATGTGAGTTCAAGCTTTGTCATCTCTTCCCCCAAAGAGTACTTTGGCTGCACTCTCTCTAAGACATATCTGTTTGTTGTTCTATCAGCCCACAGAACATTCATCCTCTTCTCCAACACCACAATGCAAAGGCATCAATTCTTCTGTCACCCTTATTAATTAGAGCTTGTGCAGTGCTCACATGCACAGAAAATGACTGAAAAACCATATAGCCCTAACTATATTCACCTTAGCGTTGAGGACTCTCCTTCATAGGGTCGCTATGAGTCGCTTGCAACTCGACAGCACTTAACAACAACAACTACAACAACAACAACATAGTCAACTTAGTCCTCAAACTGATAGCGTTGGAGAAGTCCCTGCCTGCATACCTTCCCAGTACTGGCCACCAGAGGAGTCTATTATTCTTACAAAGATAATAAAATTCAGAGAAACTAAGGACCTTGCTGAAGTTCATACAATGAGTTGGTTTCAAATACAAAATTTAACTGAAAACGTGGCATAAAAGCCATGATCTCTGTTTCATGATAATAATGATAAATACAGGGAGCTCTCGTGGCATAGTTGCTAAGAAGTAACCCAAAGGTGGTGGTTCAAATTTACCAATGTCTCTATGGGGAAAGATTTATAGTGTCCTCCCATGAGATTTACAGCCTCTGAAAACCTGCTGGAGGGACAGTTTGAGTCAGTTTCAACTCGAGTTTTTGAGAGCTGCTTTATTATTATTACTATATATTTCTTCGATATAATGGATTCTTTTCCCTCTGTGGGTGGTTTTTATGGTTTTGTGTGTGACAATAAAAGAACTCAGGAATGTGCCAAACCTGAAGCTATCTCAGTAAGTAAAATGAGTAACTGTTTCAATATGGACTATCTTGTATGCACATAAAAAAAGAATCTGTTTATTTGGAATGCTGTAAGATACTGACTGGAAAGCCAATTTACAGTCTTTGTCAGTGTGACATCCAAACCATCACAAAAAAGTGTTGTTGGGGTTTTTTTTTGTTTTTTTATTTTATTTTAATAATTTTAATGAACATTTACAGAGATTTTGGATTTCCATTCATTCACTGTTGTACTTTTCTCCCTGCCCAGCCCTCCCCCTGCCCCCCAGTTTCTCCTCTCTTTTAAAAAGTAAAAAAAAAAAAATTCTTTCTTTGGTATACAATCCCCCTGCACCCCTCCCACCATCCCAGGTACACTCCACTATGCACCCTTAATTCTGGACTCTTGTGATAACTATAATACCCTATCATATATCGCTTTTAAATTATTCTCTCCATCTGTTTTAATGCAGTATACATAATTTATCCATTTTTTCTCAGTCTCACACCAACCCTGATATCAGTCCCATTCTACAACAGTGGCACCACGGAGTATTTGTCCTTTTGTGACTGAGATATTTCACTCAGCATAATGTCCTCCTGGGTCCCCATTTTGAATAATATTGCATGAGTTTTTTGGGTTTTTTAAAATAATTGTAATTTCTTTAGTTTATTGTGCAATTATTTGTGCTAGACTTGTAGAAATCATTTAATCCTCTTCACATCTCACTTTTGCCAAGGATGAAAACTGAAGACCAGGAAGGCTAAGAAATTCATGCCAGATCACAGAGAAGCATCGCTGGCTGTTCTGTGTATTACAAATCCAGGCCTTAAGCTTGCT